CCACGGTGTGTGTGAGAAAAGCCGGGGCTCGTCCGGGGGGGGGGGAGGGGAGGTGCACTAGCGGGGTCCCGCCCGCATCCTCCGCGTCTTTGCTCCACATATCCCTGGTCTGCTGGGGGCACCCCCCCAGCAGCCTAGGGAGACGCGGAGCAGCTTTTCTCACCCCGGAGGACGCGGACCACGGGACTGCGGCGGGTCTGGGAGGTCCCGCAGCCCGCGTCCTCCGGGGCGAGAAAAGCCCCATTCGTAACTGCGGATCCGACATAAGTCGGATCCGTGTAACTCGGGGACTTCCTGTATTACAAAATGGCTATACTAGCAATGATTATGCCTCTAAATATTGAACATGGCCCTGGTTACTTCTGGCTTCAGCTGGCAAAAGGGTTACAAATATATAAAAAGCTCTAAGGCATATTTATTCTTGCTGGTTGACAGACTATTGACAGTTTTGGGCTTTGTACTTTCTTTATTGTTTCCTGAAGCCAAAGAGAGAGATTTTATGATTTGTGTTTGAAACACACGCTTTGCCTCTCTTTCTCTCTCCCTCCCTCCCCTGAATCTGCCATTTCCCAAAGCAAGGCCAATAACAAGCAGCAGGGCTGGCCCGAGCCATTTTGGCGCCCTGGGCCCCAGGTGCATGGTGCCACCCCTGGGGTGCATGGCCCCGCCTCTCGGCACATGGTGCATACGCGGGCTCACCCCCGAGACGCATGGCCCCGCTTCCGGGTGCATGACACATGCGTGGGCCTGCCGCTTGGGCGCGTGGGCAGACGCACGGCACATGTGCTGCCGTCGGCCTGGCCATTGCCAATGGCTCACAGCCCGGGGCCGTCTGGGGTGGACTATGAAGGGCCCTATGGCCGCAGGGGGAAGGGCGCTGCTGGCCAGTGCTGTGGGGGTTAACACGACCCCCACCCAGGGCGGCCACTGCAGCCCATGGAAGCCAGACAGCCCCTGTAGGTTGGCGCCCTGGGCAGCTGACCGGCGAGCCCACCCCTTAGTTTGGCCCTGACTAGCAGCCAAACTACAATGCCATTCCAGCTCTTCCAACAGAAAACTTCAGTATACGTGCATCAAACCAGTAAGCTCTATGGGCTCTAAGCCTGCTAGTTTACCTGTAAGGGCAATAGCTTAAACAAGTTACTCTGTGAACCCCCCATCCAGAATGCTTAAAAGAGGGAAGAATATTGGAGGGAAGGGAAGATGCTTGATACGTTTGGGAATTTTTTTCCACTGCTACACTTTGCAAATAAACATGAGATGTCTGAGTTCAGGATTTTAGCAAAAGAAAGGACAGCAGCAGAATATAGACCCCAAACTTCAGGAAAAACAGACTTTGACTTCCTCAGGGAACTGATGGGCAGGATCCCCTGTATAGCTTACATGAGGGCTACAAGAGTCCAGGAGTGCTAACTGTATTTTTAAAAAGCCTTATTGAAGGCACAAGAACAAACCACTCCAAAGTGCAGAAAGAATAGCAAATATGTCAGGCAACAAGGTTAGCTTAACATAGTTTAAATACAAAAAGGAAGCTTATAAGAAGTGGACACTTGGGCAGATGACTAGGGAGGAGTCATACATAGATACATTGCTAGGCAAGCAAGGGTGTAATCAGAAAGGCCAAAGCACAATTGGAATTTCAGCTTGTAAGGGATGTGAAAGGTAACAGGAAAGGTTTCTACAGGCATGTTACCAATAATGTTACCAATAAAAGCATGGTCAGGAAAGGTGTGGGACCCTTACTGAAAGGGGAAGGAAAACCTTGTAGCAGATGGTGTGGAAATAAACCCTGGGAGATGAAAGGACAGGTTAAGAACTATTTAGAAGAGCTGGACATGCACAAATCCATGGGAATGGATCTAGTAAATCTGAAGGGACTGGGAGGTCTGGTTGATGAGATTGCAGAGCCACTGACCATTATCTCTGAAAAGTTGTGGAAAGGGAGGTCCCGGAGGATTGAAAAAAGGCAAATATAGCATCTTGAAAAAAAGGGAAGAAGGAGAATTCAGAGTACTACAGACTGGTCAGCTTCCCCTCATTCCCCAGAAAAACCATGGAGGAGATCCTCAAGGATTTTGAAACACTTGGAGGAGAGGAAGGTGATCAAGAACAGTCAGAATGGGTTCATTGAGGGCAAATCATGCATGACCCACTAACCCCTTTCTATGATGAGATAAATGGCTTTGTGGATATGGTGAAAGCAGCAGATGTGATAAACCTTGACGTTAGCAAAGCTTTAGATAAAGCCTCCCACAGTACTTTTGCCATCAAATTAAAGAAGGCTGTCTTGGAAGAATGGAGTACAAGGTGGATAAAAAGCTGGCTACATTGTTGGGCTCAAGAGGTTGTGAGGAACAGCTCAATGTCTAGCTGGCAGCCGGTGTCAAGCAGAATGCCCCGGGGTCTGTCCTGGGACCACTTTTTCACCAT